GAAATGTCAACAGTCTCTTCCTGATGTTAAGTATAAGTGTCCTTTTTGTTTTCCATTTTCGTCGTTGTTCACATGTTCAGACCATGGTATTCTCAGCATTCTTTAGAATCACATGTCTTTTGCTTCAAGTTTATTCTCCATCTGCAATGGGATTGTCCAGCATTCACTGTCATATATGAAGAATAGGCAAAGATCTACACGATTTTAACGGCCATACCGGCAGAAGAGTTGCAGCGCCAGTCGGGCTAACAGTAACTAAGGCGAACCTTAACTGACAAAGCATCTGACAGCCCGATGCAACCAGCTTTGCCAGGTCTCGCTTGTCTCAGTCACCTTTGAGCCACGAGGGAGGCGCTTATGATCATGTGTGTGGAATTCTCCATCGCGCAGAGGTACCCACCAAAATCAAATTCACATGAATGACCTTGTCAAATTCTCTTTAACTACTTTTCAGGAGTAGGCTGCACCTTCACAGCCATCTCCACCACCACCACTAGAGGGCAGAAAAAAGAATAAGGACAGAGAGTGACGATCTCGATGCTCGGATGTGAGCGGGTGCTGACTAGGGGGAACGTTATGATATAACAGTTAACTACTCTTTTCTTTGTTAATTTTCCGGTGTCTTAATATTTTTCTTAGCTTCTGGAAGATATCTTTCGCTATTCCAATGCGTGTTCGGATTTCAGTGTCGTATTTTACGTCCTCTGTTAAAATTATTGTTTTTATTAGGTCAAGCTGACCCTTTTTTAAAATCGTTATCCGTATTATTTACAGACTATTTCTTTTTCCTTTTCTTAATGGTCGACAAATTATTTACATTTTTCTAATGTAAGCACCTGTAAATTGTGTATATTTCTATCACCTGTAAATTGCGTATATTTCTATCATCTACATCGAAAAAAAGACAATCATGCGTAAAAAATTACCCAAGATGGCTTCATTGCACTTCAAGAGGTTTGTTGTTCATTGAAGCAAGTCTTAATTTGCAGAGACGACATAACCCCAATTGTGATATTTGTGGCAGTTATGTACAAGAGTCAGTACAAAAAGTATGATTATGATATATTTCAATGGGTTTTCAATGAACAATGAAAATATAATTCGTGCTAAGGAAACATTTCCACCCATTGAAAAGTTTCAACCGGTTTTCGCCATTCAGTTCTCGCCAGTTGAATGAGAACATTTATATATAAATGGCACTCAGATCTTTTCAAAGAACTAGTTTATTAAATAACTTGAAATGTCTCATCCTCACGTTCCCGACTGTTTCAAGGATCGATTATAGCTTGATTATTTGCATTACAAAAATAGATTATTACTTTTATAAATATATTTACCGTATATACTCGCGTATCATACGAATTTTGAATAACTAATTTTGAAGCTAATTTTAAGAGGGTAACATCACACACAAGACATAAAATTATCGTATGTACTACTGGCGCCTGGCTACGCCGTTGACCAAAATTTATATCTGTTAAGACCAAGGAAGACCAACACGAACACAAGAGTAGAAATAACGAAGGTATATTACACGAAATAATAATACAAGATGTGGAAGATGTTAGTATGACTGTCAGTCTGGTTTGGAGTGAACTACTATCGGTTCGAATCGATTCGATATTTGCTTGCCCCCACTCCCCACGAGGGAAAGATGTGGCACAAGGCCGAGTTTTACGTGGGTTTTCCGAGGCCGTAGGCTTGGCCAAAAAATGCCCGTAGAAACTGTAAAAACAGAATCGGGTTGGTCAACCTCCCCGAACGAGAGTCTGTCCTTCGGCGGAGCCTCGTCCGGGTTCCTCTCTGCTCAGAGGTAGAGAGTTCGACCGTCAAACCGAGAAGCTCGGCTTGATTCGGTATCTAGCTCCCACCCCCCACGAGGGTTGCATATGGCACAAGGCCGGGTTTTACGTGGGTTTTCCGAGCCCGTAGGCTCGGCCAAAACATGCCCGTAGAACCCGTATAAACGGGATCGGGTTGATCAACCTCCCCGAACGAGACTCTGCCCTTCAGCGGATCCTCGTCCGGGTTCCTCTCTGCTCAGAGGCAGAGAGTTCGACCGTCAAGCCGAGAAGCTCGGCTTGATTCGACCCTCTCTCTTGAGAGGCGTAGTATACATAGTGTTAGGAAGAGTTCATTCTTTAGTTATAGATAAGGACCCATGACACATGGGAAAAATGTTGAAATGTGAAGGTAGTGTTTAGACCGGCGTTTCTCAACGCGAGAACAGGTAATGCACTTTTTACTTTTTATCTAATTTGCATATACGTAATATTGCTAAACACACAATATATATTCTTGGTTATTGTAATATTGTAATATAGACATCATCCTACACATGCCAACAAACCCCTATTTAGGGCCTGATCTGGCTCTTGCAAAGGTCGAAGATAGCACGAGGAGTTATGCGCTAACTAGAGCGGTACCAGGAACAGACAATTTTTCCAGCATCCCCAGTGATGAATCGCATGAAGGAGTTCCACTTCAGGTTTGGGTTGAGTTTAAGTCCCAAGAGATATTAAGGAAAGAATAAAATCTAATTAATATTTATGTAATTTAACGAACACTTGTGGCAACCTTTGTGATGTCAACAATTACTCGTTGTTACTTTCGTAATGTTTGTTGTAGAAGAGACTTTGTAATCGCAGTTGAACAATACTGGTGTCAGACGCCTTCGAACAGCACTCGCACTAATAGTACTTGCTCGATAATACTCGTTCGTGATCCGAAAAGAAAAATAGTATAGTGAGTAGAGTAGGGAATAGCGGTCTGTATAGTATAGAGGATAGACTAGAAATGGCGATCCGTATAGTATAGAGGATACACTAGAAATGGCGATCCGTATAGTATAGAGGATAGACGAGAAATGGTGATCCGTATAGTTTAGAGGATAGACTAGAAATGGGGATCCGTATAGTATAGAGGATAGAATAGAGATGGTGATCCGTATAGTTTAGAGAATAAACTAGAAATGGCGATCCGTATAGTATAGAGGATAGACTAGAAATAGCGATTAATTAGACACACGCTAGCTCCAATATAAGCGTTTCAGCTATGATCACGTAGTCTACTTAATTCAATAATGGGATTGCCCGTGTTTACACACTGGCGATCTATGTTCAAACTCAAGTGTTGGCAGCGACACACTTTATTCCTGAATAACAAATATTCAATAAGATGTTTAACCATTATCTATTTTAATATTACTTTATTGAAGGTGATTCGAATTTCGAACCGAAAACTTTATTTCGTCTACCGGGGTAGATTGCTCTAGTTCCACGTGCCATGCCTCTTAAGGATGTCTCGGTTAATTCCCTTTTAACTCAACTCTTCAAATTTTGGTTCACCACTGCTGTAGCCTGGTACTGAACACTTTAGGTCTAGTCACTGGATCTAACCAGCGCCTTTATCCACTGGACCATGTGTGCTTGACATCTAGAAGAGGCATGACACGTGGAACTAGAACAATCTACCCCGATGGACAAAAAAAAAAGGATTCTGTTCGAAATTCCAATCCCCTGAAGAAGGCCGGAGCGTACAACGACCGAAACATTGTGAATATGGCAATAAAGATGATGATCGTACCATATATATATATATATATATATATATATATATATATATATATATATATATATGCTATATTCATGGAGTACAATGCCCAAAGATAGAGCGTATGTAAATATAAAAGTGGACACTGAAGTCAACACCCAATGGCAGCAGTGGGTTTTACGCTTAAACTCAATTGCCAGTTCATGTGGGTTGTGTTTGGCTTCGACTATTTATATATGCTAATCAGTGGTGCATTATGGGTAGGTGAATTGTATTATTGTAAAGGTTATGTTTCGGATTATTCCAGTGGAAATAAATGTGGATCAGAATGTAGCTTTTTTCGGCTTTTATAGTATTGTTTGTTAACTGTTTTACTCATTATTTGTAATCGATTATTTTATCATTTGTTGTTGATTTTTATCATTCCGTTTATTTGTATTTTGTTTGCAATCACAGTTTGTTAATTTGTTTATTGTTGACTTAATTTATTTACTTCTTTATTAATGTGTATTAATTTATTTTATTTATTTATTCTTATTTATTTTATTATTTATTTATTTTTATTTAATATTCTTCCTTTTTAGTTTTCGATATTTAAGTAACGTAGTTTTCTTGTCTGCATTTTCAGATGAGTTCTGATCGTTTATTTAGTAATTTCTATTGGTCTGGGAAGATAATTACAGAAGTTTTATCCTTCAGACAGAGTTTACATTTTTTGTATTTATTGCTGATGCTTTTTCCTTATTTTTCTCGATATTTTCGTGTGATTTGCTATTTCTTCTTTTTTTTGTTGTTGTTTTTGATTCTCCATATATGTTTAGAAAACATTCTACTGTTTGCGTATTTACTATTTGTAAAGTATATATTGTGTGTAGAGTTTCTTTGATCCCAGTTTTCCAGTGACTCCTATGTATATTTTTCTTCGTTATCTGCTGATTTTACAGTGACTTGGTATATTAAATGGCTCTGCAAGCATTTGCCAAATGTACCTCATCGGGCATCTGCAACAGAAATTAGCAGCCTTGATAGAATCGAAAAGCATCTTCGGGCACTTGTGGGTGACAAAATATTCTCCACCCGTCAACCCCTCTCCCACAGGCGGGATGTGACATGCCTCTCGCTACTTCCATGGAAAGTGCTCGGAGGGACTACATTCCCTAGTCCCGCCAGAACACTTACATAGTAGCAAACCATCCACATTCCCTCCTTTATTCCGTAAGTGAGAAGTAAGTTCGACTCGAGCAGGTTTTTTTTTTTCCCACGAAGTACTGCCCGGTGGAACCGACTCCCAACAGGATGTTTCTCCGATCACTACAATCTTAACCTGTTCAAGGATAGGGTTAACGGTTATTTTCCAAACAGATACACACAAATAGCTTCCAAACGTAACCCTCTGCCTCGAGTGGCCAGGGGCCTTGTAAATGGTGATCCTTATTGTAAGAAAAAGACTAAGAGAGATAGATAGATAGATAGATAGATAGATAGATAGATAGATAATGAACTGAGACAGATATGAGCAGAGACAGATACACTGAAACAAATAGATAGATAATGAACAGACTAAGATAGATAGATAGATAGATAGATAATGGACTGAGACAGAACTGAGATAGATAATGAACTGAGATAGATAGATAGAGAGATAGATAGATAGATAGATAGATAGATAGATAGATAGATAGATAGATAATTAACTGAGACAGATATGAGCAGAGACAGATACACTGAGACAAATAGATAGATAATGAACAGACTAAGATAGATAGATAGATAGATAGATAGATAGATAATGGACTGAGATAGATAATGAACTGAGACAGATATGAGCAGAGATAGATACACTGAGACAAATAGATAGAAAATTAATAGAAAAAGATAGATAGATAGATAGATAGATAGATAGATAGATAGATAGATAGATAGATAAATAAAATGTGTCTTATTTGGTTTCTAATACTTTTGCATAACCTGTTTTGTACTTCGAGTAATTTGACCTTCGTACATATGATTGGTTTTATGACTGAAATCGTCACTGAATGGGGAAAAAATTCGCACGAAAAAATAAAACAAAAGTTCCACTTTACAGCTTTGTCCTCCATTTTTCGATTGACAACCGACAAATTTGTTTCGAGACGCCAATCACTCAAGCGTCGTGTAATTTGTTTCTGAAATCGACTCCAGAATAGAGAATTGTTGGGAAATTTTGACCTGTTTGATGGATAAGTCGCAAGAAAATAACAGAATTTCTCAGCGTTGTTTTTGCTATTTAAAAATGGGGAGGTTTCAATCATAACTCGACCATTTCATCTATGAAACTTATATGTGTTTCTCGAAAAGCATAAAAATGGTTTTAATAATGTTAATAAGTACCAACTTCACTTGGTCGTTATTAATATTGGAAACAGTATTCAAATGTTTTAGAAACCAGATTTTCTAGTAGAACTACCTAGATGCAACCGTAAGTTCTATTCTAATAATTTCTTCTTTCGCAATTCTCGCCTGTGGAACTTTCTTCTGCTTTCTTGCGTCGCTGCCTCTGAAAATTTTACAAAAATGTAAATGCAACGTCGATTGCAATCTTCTGTCTTCCTGGAACCTGTTCTTTTGTTATCTTTTCTCCTCACTAAATTCTTCTCGTTCTCTTTCCCTCCCAGTAATCCCATGCGTCTTAGTGACATTATCCCCTTGTTTGGAGTGAAATGATTAAAAACAGAAGGATAAAGCGATTGTTATATTCAGCAAAATAATAATTCCGAGAATTGACAGCCAAAATTCAACTTATTGTTTATTATAATAATAATAATGATAATAATAACCAATCGATCTCTAAGCCGATTAAAAATTAGAAGACTGTTTAAAAAACAGGGTTATCAATCAAAAAAACATGTGGTAAATAATAGTTCAGCAGACTACACTATTATCTTTAGGGGAAGTATATCTCAGCTCTGACTTCCGAAATTTGACATTTGGGGTCAGATGTGAGACATAACAGGGAAGTAGATTTTGATTAGCTGAACTTGCGTGGGAAAGATAGATAGGAGAAAAATGTTAGCGCGTTGGGTCTTACTCGTCAAGCGATGTAGACGTGTTCTTTGTCGTATCCGAAATGGTTCCCCCGTGATGGAGAAGGGCGACACCCACTGGAAAGTTAGTTAATGTACATGTCGACATGAGTAATGAAAATAGTTCAGTTAAAATTTTTTTTGTTTGAAGTCTTTCATTGCTGAACCAAAACAATTAGCGATCGTTTGCCGAGAGAAGACGAGATGAGTCCACCCCCACCAGGGGGCTATGCAACACGTGTATCCTCAAAATATAACGTTTATAGCAATGTTTTTCAACTTTTTTTTTATTTCATGGCACTCTTGAACCTTTAGTTAATCTTCCGCAGCACACTAAAATTATGACGATCAAAAAAACAGTGCAAACAAAAGAGCCAAAACAAAGATTTATTTATTAACACAAAAACAATTTATTATAATTTGCAGTAAAAAATATAGTAATTAAAATTCTTAAAAAACTTATTTTTCTGTTTATATACATGTTCCATATACGCACCACCTATGATACGACACACGTCAAGTCGGTAGTCCAGCTCTTGTCAAACGCGCTGTAGCATGTCTTGAGTAACATTCTCTAGTGCCTCATTGATTCTCTGTTCCTCTAGGCTTGTAAAAAGAGGGGTGATACAAACCTCTTCTTTCACAGAGACCCATTTGATGAGATATCTGGGCTTGAAGGTTTTTTTAGAATATATTCTTTGCAAAATCGAAAATCTGCTTTCAAGAATTCTGACTGTGATCAATTTTTGTTTATAATATTGTTTTTTGCAGAAAAGCTTGCTTTCTATATTATTTTATTATAATAATGATATACTTATATAATCAATTTAAAGGGTTTGATGTGTACACTTATTGTACTTTGAACTTCTTTCGATAATAATTGAATTAATGACCTTTCAAAATTTTCTGCGGCATACCTACGATCCTCTCTTGGCAAAACCGTTTGCCGTGGCACGCCTACGATCATATCACGGCACACCGCGGCATACCTACGATCCTCCCTCGGCAAACCAGTGTGCCGTGGCACACCTACCATCCTCTCAGGGTACAACAGCTGAAAATCAATGGTTTATCGTACGATTTAATCCCAATATAGAAGCCTAAATTCTGAAATACTTTATAATTTGAAAAGAATGTTGTTTAAAACAGAGGAAAGAAAAGAAGTAAAACAGTTAACCTTACAATTTTCACACAATAAAAACACCGACTGTTGTTTGAAGCCCTTTTGTGTTGTGTCAATTCTGCGGACGTTCACATGTCATACGTGATTTTTACCATCTTTTGGAACCATTTGCTCTTGTTGCCAATGGCTCGAGAATAAATGAATAACTGATTCGAATTACTTCCTTTCAATTAAATAATATATTCGACTAAGAAGAAAAGGCCTGGCTTTATTCAGAAGCATCATCACAAAAAGAGGATAAAATTCGTTTCGCAAACGCTTTACACCAAATTTCTTTCCCGTAGGGAAAAAAAAAACAAACTTTTGCGAAGGTTTTTCCCAGCATAAACATTAAATGAAAGATATTCTCTTAGTAATAATAGTAAACAAAATGATCGGCCGTAAATCTTTTAATATTTTTCAACACATAGAGAAGGAAAACAGACGTTCTGTGGAAATACTATTGAAGCATTGCCAAACACAATCACTTTGTCTTTTCTTTTCTTAAATTGCGCTCTTCTCTAAGTGTTAATCATAATAACCATAACAGTAGTAATAATAACAAAGAGACGATAATAATAATAATAACAACAACAACGACAACAACAAAGTAGAGACAGTTATAATAATGAAGAGGAGATAATAATTATAACAATAAAAATAATAATAACAATAATAAAAAGATAATAATAATAATAATGACGAGAACATAATAATAATGACGAGAACATAATAATGATGACGAGAACATAATAATAATAGTGAAGATAATAATTATAACAATAATAATAACAATAATGAAGCAAAGATAATAATAATAATAGTAATGCAGAGAAGATATTAATTATAACAATAATAATATTAATAATAATGACAATAATGAAGGAAGATAATAATATAATATAATAATGAAGAGAAAATAATAATAATAACAATAAAAATAATAATGACAATAATGAAAATAATAATAATAATAATGGATAGAAGATATAACAATAATAACAATAATAATAACAATAATAATCATAATAATGATACTGAAGAGAAGATAATAATTATAACAATAATAATAATAATAATCACTATAATAAACAAAATGATTGCCGTAACTCTTCCAATACGTTTCAACAGTAAAGAGAAGAGCAATTTAAGAAAAGAAAAAAGAAAACAGTGTTTTACAATGTTAAACAATATTTCAACTGAATGTCTGTCTTCGTCAAGTTATATTTAAAAAAGGTTTTCAAGTATTAAAATATATAATTCTTTAAAAATATGTCTTTGGACAAACGTTGCTTGTCTTGTAATGATAATAAAAATAATAATGAAGAGCTGTCAAAATACAAGGACCTTGAAATAGAAATCTCGAAAATGTGGCATATGGGAACATCAACAATCCCTGTTGTAGTTGGAGCCCTAGGACTGGTTGGAAAAGATTGCAGTAGACTAATTGAAGGGATTCCTGGAAGTCCATGCCTCAAGGAGATACAAAAAATTGTTCTGACAAGTACAGCCCACACCTTACGAAGGGCTTTATCTGTGTAATTTAATTTTTTTTTTTTTTTTTTTTTTGTCAGTGGAAAGTGTCATGACGCCATTTCTAACCTTAGGTCCCTGGGCGGGACCCGGAAAGAAATGTGTAAACGCCAGAAATCAAAGAAAATAATAATAATAATAATAGACGCCTTTGAACTCTATCAAGATAAGCAAATATCTTGTTCTCACTTCCAGTCCGGCTCAGCCATAACTTTACGAACGATTTTTAAATATGTGACTAGGTGTTTCCTTCTGTTGCTCTTGCCATTAATTTGCCCTTCGAGTGTCGAATTCTCTAAGCACTTTCTCCTTATTATGTGTCCCATAAGTTTCAATTGTTTCTTCTTTTTTTATTCTTAGTATGTCTTTTTCGTTACCATTTTCCTTAAAGCTTTGTCGTTGCTCACAAAATGTCGTACCTTTTAATCCGTTGAAAAGAAAGCATTAAGTATAGGAGATAACGGCTTATATCGGATATTCAATTTATTGTGCCGACTATAATAGCTTACGAGACTTTACGAGACTTTACGAGATTATATTGGGCGCGGAAAGAACGTTCGTCAAAAATACATACAATATGTGTATACAATTATTTCTCTTCGATGTCTAAAGGTAGTCTTTTCGGACACCCTCGTAGTTTAATGCTTCTGTTATTCCCTCATGACATGGATAATCAAGGCTCTCCACAACTTCCTATCCTATCACAGTAGTGTTAAGTTTTACTTAACGAGCTTGTGTAAATAGATGGCAGAACAAGAGATAGTAAAAAGACATGACTAAGCGCAAAAAGGATAGGAAATTGTGGCAAGTCATGATCCGCTACGTCCTGAAAGGACACGGCGCCTAAAAGAAGACATAGCAGTTTTCAAACTGGATCATTACAACTGAGTCGGGAATTTTATCCTCACCAGGTGCCTTTTATATTTAGCGTTGAACTAAAACTATTTCGTGTAGATAAAACTAAAATTATTAGTTTCCAGTATTAACCGTACTTACAAATTAAAATAAAATTATTAGTTTCCAGAAAGTCCATTAGTTTATAGAAAGGTCAGTTAATAGTTCTTCATTTTATTATCTTATCGGGGTTAATTTTAATTCTTTAAATAATTTCAACCCAAGTCGATTTTTTAATAATCTTTTCAACCCAAACAACACAACAAAGCCATTAACATAAAGTGGGTTACCGAGTGTCAAATAATATAAAAATAAAATAAAATAATATAAAATAAAAGAAAAGAACACGTCCTGGGTATGACGATAAACAACATCCGGCAGCAAGGATTCTGATCAGGAGGTTTTGAGGAGCATAGAATCACCTCTTAATTGTTGATGTACCCAGGTC